TCGTTTCTAAATCGTAAGCAATGAATGTAGATTTTATTATGCATATATTTCCATTTAACACATTTTTACTCTCGCAACATATCACAACTGAGTATTCGAGTTTTGCTTTTAAAATTTCTTATATATTTTTGTATCTTTTTTCAGAAACCCCGTTGTACCATGTGCACATATTCCTCAGGTAGACTTGACAAAGTGGATTGATCAGAAACGATTTGTGTCAACAAGTGATACTTTAAATGCAATTCCAAATCATTATGGTAAATGATGGAAATAATGTATTAAGCCAAGTGTAATCGCGTACTTTGAAGAGTATTATTCAATATCAATATATAGAGAAATTTACCAACCTGTTTAGCATTAAAAAATGTTTATACGAGTATTTTACGAAATCTTATTTTATAACAAGAGCATTTTCAATAATTTTAATATATTATGTGTATGTATGTTATACAACAATAAATAATTTTTTTATAGAATGAAGCATGTGTGGAGAATTTAAAGAAAATCAATAAAAAAATTGTTTTAAATTCTTTTAATAATTATATATTACTTGCACATTCTTTATAATATAAACACAAGTACATTAGTCTTACAGTTTAACAAATCATTCTTAGACTAACATGAGTAGTTCAATATTCAAGATACAATAATTATTTTTATTTCATAGAATATTTGACATGAATTTACACTTCAATTGATATGAAACTAAGTGAAATATTAAATTCAAACACTTTCAAAAGTCACAACACATTATCATTTTATAAAAACATTTAATAATTATCGGTAGAATTTTTTGAGTTGGCTAAATTTGTTGCTTCGTCTGATAAGTTCTTATTTTCGTCCGAAATAGGCACATTAATTATGGAGCTAGTGTATTGAAGGTCTGCCTTCCATTTCATGAATATTTTTATCTCATCATATATTTAAGCATGTTCCATAGTATCTCTTTTTAACAAACGCATTTTCTCATGTTGCCCATTAAGTATATATAATTCAAATTCACAAAGCTCCACCAGACAAAAACGAGATATTGGGATAAGTCTAACAGATTTTATGATTAGAAAAAATTTAAAATTAATATTTAATTAAAAAACTAATTTTTCATCCACATTGTAGTACATGATAATTTTTATTACTAAAATCATTTCAGAATAAAAAGAAAACCAAAGCATATCTTCGTTGTAATACTGAGTAATATTCCTGTTAATTTCGTTCAATACTTGATGTGATCAGCAAAATCTATATAAACAAAATAAACGATTAAATTGAGAAATTATAAAACTAAGAAAATATTTACATCTTTTATTATTATTTTAGTTATAAACATAATTTTATTGCATTGAGATGATTGAGTAACTGCTCACACTTACTCTGCCAGCGTGAAAATGTAAATAATATTTTTATCTATTTTTCAATTTTACTTTACTACCATAACGACATTCAACTATTGAAAGTTGCAAACAAAACATTTAAATATATGAATACAAATTTATGTTTCTTAATAAAGTGCGCCGAGAAAGCTCATAACCTTTAAAAGCAGTTACAAATCGGATTTTTTAGTCCGATATCCGATGATTTTAGTGATTTTGATACTAATCACACACATTTTTTGTTAAAATTGGAAAATTTCACATTCAACGTTGCATGTAATTATAAGACTGAAGCACATTAAACTACTAATAAGATAATATTGAAAGAAATATTTTTGCATTTCGCAAATATTAAAAATAATTACTTTTGAGCCATTAATTTATTACAATTTCGCAAATAATATATTATATGTAGGAGCACCAAATTGTTTTTGGGAAATGTACCTCACCACATTAATTACTATCAGAATAATCTATTCATTTGCGATATAAGAATTCAAGGGAAAATGTATTTTTAATATACATATAAACAGAAAATTGATATTTTTAGCTTTTGATTTATTCCAAAAAAATACATTCAAAATAATTTTAGACAGGTTTTTTTTTAAGTATGTAATTAATAAAATTAATTCAACTGTTTTAGAACAAAATATACCACACGGGCAAGAACTATGTTCAGAGTTAAGTGTTTTAACGAAGTATCAACAAACGAATTACCAAATTAACATGTTCGGTCTAAATACCCCTAATATATTTTGCATTAGTTACTATAAAACAGCTTTTAAAAGTGGAACTTGGTATTTAGTATATCACAACATTCTCTCATTAACATTTAAATATTTATTTAAACCGATATATACGTACTTTTTAATGCTAGGTATCTTGAATATCTCAGCTCCACTTGAATACGTATTTCATTTGAAGGGACACAGTTATTCCTTATACGCAGATAATGTACTGTATTTACTAAATACAGTTTCCGCTTATCAACTGAAAAAATAATAAATTAATATATGCAAAGTTAATTACTTGAGGTTAAAGCAATTCAGATCAGCCAAACTATTTTTTAGTATTACGAACTTAAACATATTTCAATCAAAGTTTTTTTTATGTCGCAAACTTAAAAAGTGAAAATTTCACAGATAATTAAGCAGTTGAAAATTTTTAGACGAAAAATGAAAACAATTCAATTAAGTTACTGCTCACTATGGCGGAAATGTTGTGGCCAAAAGTCCATGAATATGGCAACAAGGAACGAAATCGATATTAATGTGTATGTTTGTATGATTGAGTTTATAAAAAAAAATTATATATAAACTAATATAAACTAAATTTAAAATAATTTTTTTCTATTAGTCGCAGATAAATGTACTAAGCACGCGAAACATGTACGCATTTCTTCCTTATTTTGCAAGAAGTAAATTTGCTAAACATGAGTCTATGCAAATAAATACATTTTAGCGGTTTGTGTTCATTTACTTTTCATACAATAAAGAAAATATGTTTTAAGATTTGCTCTATCATCATTAGCTATTTATTTAGCTTATTTTTTAATATATGAATAATTTTTAGTGAACAGCTCAGTTTTTTGGATAATTAATCGGAGAAAATTATAGGTATATTTTTTTGGATAACACAAAAATATGTGTTATGCGAGAAAACTAATTAAGAGGAGAAATTTACACGCACTTTGTATGCAATATATTTTTAACCGATCAAGTGGTTCAAATAAGCGGGGGATACTGTACTAATTTAAACGGTATATGTTTAAAATACATTCTCTTACACTGCTTTAGGTAAAGCCATGGCAAGCGAATCTTGCACCTTATGTTCAATTGATGATATTTCTCCTCTGAATTTGAACTTGTATAAAAAACACGATAGGGTTCAAATTTAATAAATTTCTATATAAACGTATAATAAATTTGAATATTTACGTTCACTTCTAATTCAAATACCTTTTTGTTTTCGCACTTCATATTATTCGTAAAAGACATTTAGGAATTTATTTCATAAAATATTTATTTGTTTCGTATCGACAGATAGCGGCATCGCTGCCCTTTTTATATCATTTAGACTGTTGTGACATTTTAATTATTCACATGTGCGTGCTCTCATAAAGATTAAAAACAGCTGAATTTCTATGTACTGTGTGAAGTATAACTGCGGCTATGTTTTATATATGTGATGTGCTATGTATGCATAAGTAAGCCTTAAGTTTCAGTCTTCATACATCAAATATTTTGCATAAAAAAGATATTAAAAGCATACTTATTTTCATATCCTAAACAAGGGATTTAAAGTTTGCTACGAAATTCGTAACACCCAGAAGAAAGTGTCGTAGACCGTATACAATATATATTATATATGAGTCGATTCAGCCATGTCCGTCTGTCTGTATACCTGTGAACTAGTCCCTCAGTTTTTGGGATATCGATCTGAAATTTCGCACAGGTCCTTTTCTCCCAAAAGAACCGCAGATAGCAGACCAGTATAGCGCTATAGAATATGCCATACAAAATGAACGATCGGAATTCAGTCTTTGTATTTAAATTTTTTTATATTTGACGAAATTTGACATGAATTATTGTCCAAAGCAACGGTACAATTTCCGAAGAACTTGCTCAGATCAGAACACTATAGCATATACCTGCCATTAAAACTGATCGATCAAATTTAGTCCTTGTATGAAATCTTTTGTATTTATGAAGAGTATTATTGCTTCGGTGCAACCGAAATTAACATATTTCTTGTTAGAAGATATATTTGAAAGAGAAAAACTTTTACACGCATTAAAAATAATCATAAAGATTTTAAAGATGTTTATGAATAATTAAGAAGTTTGATATGTTCTTAACAAACCTCATACATACACAAACACAATGACACAATTCTTTCAGATATATGATAACCATTGCGTAAGACGATGTATCATATGGCTGATTCACATACAATACATATTTACTTCGCTTTGCTTCAGAATATTGTTTTCCATTTTTGTCACTTATTCCTTTTATTTCTATTGATTTTCAATTTGTTTGAAAATAAAGTGAAATCGCTCGTCTACGCAGATATGCCCGAGGCTATTGACGCCTTGAAGGAGAATATTCGGCGCGTTATCGCTGGTATACGGCCTCAATTACTGCAAAAAGTGGTTGAAAATTGATTCTTTCAGCTATAATTTATTATTGGCAAACCCTTATCTTTATAATAAAGGTGAATTGATGGCCATTGTATTAAATCAAATACCAAAAATTAAAAAAAAACACTAAAAATGTGATAATTGCCTAACGGATAAAATCAGAATCATTAAATTTTAATTAAGTTAATTGAGTTTATTTTCCATTTCTCGGTATTATAGCATTAAATCTCAATAAAATTATTTAGTTTTTCTAAGATAACTTTACAATCAAAAGTTGCTCAAATCTGTTTAGGATTATACACATACTACAATATTAATTATTTAAGAATTTTTGAAATGTGCTTAAAATAATATTGTAACACTTCCGTAATATACGAACGTGCCAAAACAGTCCAATGGCCAAACGCTGATGAGAATTGTACGCGTGCTTAAGATATCTTCATCGTCATAGCAAAAGATGTTGTCTGGTTAACATTCGATCGACATAATATCTGCATCAATATAAATTAAGATCTAAATGCAAGTTGTACATACTATAAGTGCAGTTTATCAAGCAATCACACGCAGAGATGGGCTGCCGACAAAGCAATTGTATTCTATTTTCATTTCTTTTACTTCTTGCGTTCAAAAGAGTTGCTAACTTCGAAAGTAACTGGTAGAGTATTTAATATATATTTTGAAAAATAAATATGACAAAACCTTTGGTGTATTTCTTTTTAAATAGTTTATTGTTTTATTGTTTTCAGTCCTTTCGCAATCTATCAGCAATATGAAGCGGATCCCGCGGTCTACGTGTCCTCATCCGCAGCTGCAGCATTTGCAGAAGTGGGCGTAAGGAATACGCATCATGTGGCCAAAACTATTGCCCCCAACTTGAATCATATTTTCAGTTCTAAAGTGTCCGATAGATTTCGATGCATTTCCCCGCCCTCAGACTGTTTAAGTGATTCAAAAAACTTCTTATATAGAACATTCGACGGCTCGTGTAATAACTTTGAAAACTCGGGCTACGGAATGGCAACTTCTAGGTATGTACACATCATAAGGACTTATAGTATGCTCTAATATTCAAATTAAACATGGACATATATTACGTTGTGCAAAAAAATGATTTTAATAATAATGCTGCGAAAATATCGTCCGAAATAACGAAAAAACCCTGGTAAATATTGAGATCTTACTATTAAAAAGGTGCCGCATTGTGAATTATGATTTCCCAGATGTATACAAATAGGTCGAATATGACTTTTTGCTAAAGTCGACTCGTTCGAAAGGCAGGTCAAAGTCCAACATTAAATTGTAACACTTGATTCTTACAATTTTATATATGTTTTCACAAAATAATGCTTCTAAATCGTATAAAATCTTATTTGCAGTAAAACTGATCGAATAGTTTTTATGTTATGAACACTATGATTCTTACATGTAGTTTTTTGTTTTTCTGGAAATGTCTTTTTATCATGATCCATTGATTCAAGGCATTTCTGATCCGTAATATCATAGAGTTCAATCAGATTTTTTTGAAAAAGATGCTTATTTTTTTTTAAGTTAATGAGATTTTTCTGTAAACTCTTCCACTCACAATAGACTACAGCGATTTTAGCGGTGAAATATAAAAAAAACAACGCTAAAAAAAGTCATAATTGTACAACATAATAAAATGTTTAATGTTTGTCAAATTTCTTTTTAACGCTTTTTTTCAATCGTGCTGGATATGTTTTTCAATGAATTTATGGAATAAAAATAACAAAAGTGATGAAAACAGCATATTTTTACAATTTTGAGGCATTATTTTCTGATTAAATATAAGAAATTGTAAAAATTAGCTTTTACGCGCTAAGGGTAAACTTTGATCTCAAATAACTTTTGAACGAATCGATTTAGCAAAAAATCATATTTTGCTGTTGAAGATCGATAAATTCTACAATAATAAGTTTTCATTTACATAAATGATTTGTTCAAATACCTTAATATCTAAACAAACTAAGAATTATTCCCCTTTTATTTATTTGGAAAATCAAAAATCACAATGTACCACATATTAAGTGCTCAAATTTTACCAGAATTTTTTATTTATTTGGAAAATCAAAAAACACAATGTACCTATTAAGTGCTCAAATTTTACCAGACTTTTTTTTTCGTCCTTTCGGACAATATGAAGTTTTATGCTCACCGATGAGGTTTTGATATTGGTTTGAAAAATAATGGATTCAGTAGTTGAAAATACTACATCCATGAGGTATGATATGAAACATAAGGTTTACCGTTCCTAATGATTAAATTATATTAGGTTTGTGTGTTGATCATGAATTCATATATTCAATTTTTGAAACGGTTGTAATCTAAACATTTATAAGTAAACAATTACCATTTATTTATATTATTATTTAAAAATAAAAAAAGTGTGTTTGTTGTATATAACAGTTTTGGCAAAGTAACTTCCATTTATTTCACATTCTTGTACGCCATTATATTTCCAAACCTTATATACATATACTTGTATGTATGTACATATGTATCCTCGTCTATGCTACATGTGCTATGTGCTAAATTAGTACAAAATAATTGATTGGTGTCTTAATACAATATGTGGCTTAGTTAAATCACGTATTCGAAGCATTACATTTTATTAAATCGTCTAGAGATAAAAATAGCAGTAAGTAAATAAATTAAATTTGAAGAGCATTGATATTATGTGACGAAGTATATAAATAGTAAAATTTCTATTATTTTATGATGGGGCATTTAAGTTTTTGAGCATACTTTCACGTTACCTTTTTATTTATTACTAATTTATTATTAATGCGAAGGGATCAACCCGTCAGAAAAAATAAAAAAATGAGTTAGCTAGTTAACTTTTCTTATATTTCTAATTCAAATTTAAAACTACCTGTCAAATTTAAAACTACATTTTGAAATATTTAAATCAGGCTCGTTGGAAATGTCATATAACGTAAATTCATAATCTATATAAAATTAAAATTTTAGTTTATTTTAAATATGAATTAATAATTTTGAGCCGAAGTTGGCTAAAACAATTAAATACTGATCAACACAACATTTTGCTTTAAGTATAAATGCTTACTTTACCCATAAAGGGTAACATAGACCTTATGGGATAAAATCGGCAAAATCTAAATTTATTGTGTATTGTTTCGAAAATAATCGAAATTACTTAAATTACAAGTTTATACTCTTCATTTAGTATTTATATGTATGTACATATGTACACACTTTTTATTTTAACTTTCTGCAGATATAAGCGAATGTTGGCGCCAAAATACAGTGACGGTGTTAACTCTCCAACAATTTCAGTTACAGGCGCAACGTTACCAAACGCACGACTATTATCATTAGATTTATATGGCGAAACTTCCTTACCGGATGACTTTCGAACGATGGCATTTCTTCAATGGGGTCAGTTGGTGGCGCACGATATGACAAGATTCCTTAAAGCGAATGTTACTGGTAAATATCTAGCTTTACCAAAATTTAAACTAAAAAACTGCTGTAGTTTTTTAAGGCCCAAGTTAAGAAGTAACGTACTTTTCAGTTCTCAAACCTTGTGTTAAACATAACTTATACCAACTATAAAATCATAGCGTTATGAAGCTTTCATTATTAGTCATTATTTATTTTAGCTCACCACAGCACCGCTGTGGTTCCGTTTAGCTTCGTTGTTAATTTTGTCCATCTGAATATGTTGGCGTTGCAATAGTCACAATATGGTTGACCATAAATTAAGTTTCATGGTTGTTAGATTGTATTTTTATAGTCACAATAATTTCTCTCAACTTAATTCAATGTGAAAACATTTATGTATATTTATATGTACATGATCTTTAAAATAAAATTTAATGTTAATGTAAATTAATTATTATGTATATTATTATCTGCGATTTTCAGGAGACTGTTGCTTACAGCCGGAAATCAATTCCTGCTTCCCAATAATTCTTTATCCCCATAGTCCAACTACTCATACAAGTAGTACGTCTAAAAAGTGTTGGAATTTTGAAAGAAGTGCTTCAGATGCGGATACTATATGCCACGAAAGTGGCTCATCATATTCAGAAAAAATAACAACGACTTCAGCTTATTTGGATCTATCATTTCTTTATGGAAACTCTAAAAGTGAAAACAAAAAATTTCGTGTTTTTAAAAGTGGTTTGATGAAAACCAGCTCAGTGAACAATCGTGATTGGCTGCCATTATCCATGAATCCAGAAACTGACTGCGGGAAAGATATTTATCAATGCTTTACTATGCCAGATATGCGAAACCAATTTATACCTACAATCGCTGTTTTACATACGATCATTTTGCGCGAGCACAATCGACTAGCAACAATTTTAGAACGATATAACCCTCATTACTCAGATGAACGACTCTTCCAGGAAGCAAGGAAGATAAATATTGCACAGTACCAGAAAATAACATTTTACGATTGGCTGCCGCTACTTATCGGAACATCGTACGCTTACAATAAGCACTTAATACACCACACGTCAAACTATGAACATGTGGACGATTACGCACCAACAGTTAATGCCGCGCCTTACGCAGAATTTGCCGCGGCCGCTTTTCGGTATTCACACAATCAAATACCCGGATGGTTTTCGTATGTATTAAGATAATAATTAAATAATTAATAATAAATTAGATTGCCTATATTCTTTCAATGATTCACAAAGGTTCCAACACACAACTTTTCCGACTCATGCCAATTTAAACTCCGTTATTTGTATTAATATAATATGTAAATAATTTTTAAATACCTAATAGATTGATCTCATCAAGACGAAATTTCAATCTTACTATGCGATTAAGTGATCATTTTGATCGGGCCGAAAATTTGAATTTGATATGGGATGGTGATAACTTTGATTCACTTATCAGAGGTTTATCAACACAACTACAAAAACGTCCGGACAATAATATAGATAAAGAGGTATGCCGATTTGATAAATGTATATTATATTTACTACTATTTTTCGAATAGTTTATAACTAGAATCTCTTGACATATTTTACACGATTTCATTCGTATATAATATTTCAAAGTACATAGTATATAATATTTCAACGCCTTTATATACAAATGCATATCTTATAAAGTACTCTTTCCTATGATGGCCACAATTGGGACTACAATCACAACTATTTTTCATATAATAACATTTTGATTCACAATAAATAACTTAAGTATTATATTAATAAACTTGATATGTATGTAAAATGGTATTATGATATATAGTGGATATGTTTGGTTTTTCTTCTTAGGTTTTATATACCTTATAAATGGTATATGGTTGATTTTATGCTATACTTACTTATCTTTCAGAGATATACATATGTATCTGAGATTTTCCGACAATGTTAGACTAAGCATAATAACGTGGTCTTTCTGTCACTTTGAAAAAGTTGGTGTCTTTAATTTCACGTATATTAGAGGTTAATCTCATTATACTATTAAGTAGAAGTCTACCCAAAGAGTCAACAAGGGTTTTTTTTGTTTCATACATTAAACGCACTAAACAAATATACATACATACATACATATGTACATATGTACTTTGGAGGCCTAGAAACATAAATTTTATATATTCATATCTATTTTAAGGATACTACTCTTATGCATATAATCAATGCTGCATTTAATTTATTATTAATGTCATATCTTAATCGGACAGATAAATATCTAGCTCGTTCAAAAAATAACATTTTTTCTTTGCGCGATCAATTTGCGGAAAACTGTTTTTATTTTTTTTTTTTTTATAATTAACAGATGTTCAATTGCGATCACTGACGTGTACAATTTGATCAGTTTTTTCGACTTTCTAAATGTGTCACTTCGTGCCGTGAAATAAGAAAAATGTGTTCTCAGTTGAAGAAATGTTTTGAAGCAGTGTTCCAAAACAAATTTTGTTTAAAAATGGATTAGATACTTTTAAAAACACACATTGAATTGGAGCAATGTAATATTTATAGATGAGTCAACTTAACCCCTTGAGACGTGTTCGGCAAAGGAAAGGATTTGCTCATGGATTTGAGGTATTTGAAAGAAAACAATATTCCGAAACATAGGAGTAGACTCGGTACTCAATGGAAACAAGAAAACCATATTGTTACTTTAGATTGACCATCACAGTTAGCAGACGCTAGTACAATAGACAATGTTTGGACTTTAATGAAGGCCAAAACATCAAGACAACATTTAACGTCAAGAAAAGAGTCCATACGGCTACTCCAACATACCTTGAGGTCGCTTCCTGTGGAATATGCGGTAAATTTAGTTGTAGGTTGCTATCAAAGATGTCAGGTTATAATAGACAATGCGGGAGAATGAGAATAAACCTCAGTTATAATAAAACAATTTAGATTCTATAAATAAAACATTTTTCCCAATGAACGCTACTAAAACGTTATTTTTTAAACTCACTGTACGTATCTATATATGTGTCTATCTTGATTTGTTTAAGGTAATAAAAACAACCGTTATAAATACTATTATTTTAGAGTATTTCTTTCTATAAAATCATTGCATTCCGTTCTTTGCTAAACCATCTTGTAATTGGTCCACGACATAAATACACACTAATTGATTTTTCTTCCTAATTTCACAGATAAAACATTACTTTGACCGTAAAATCTTTGAAGAATACGGCACTGACCTGAAAGCAATTGATATACAGCGTGGACGAGACTTTGGATTACCCTCTTATAATGATATGCGCGTTTATTGTGGTCTTCCACGTGCATACGACTGGGCCGGATTTTCGAATGAAATACCACTAGATGTAAGTGGAAATGTAAAGACTATATTTTTATGTGTATATACTCGTATGTACATATGTACATACGAGGTGTGTTTAAAAAATAAAGGCAGTTTTGAAATTAAAATTTCGAGGGTTTGGTCAAACCAATCCAGTTGTAAATTTTTTTTTATTATGTTGATATGGATTCCCCTGAAGTTTTCAGTTGTATTCATTGCTTACTTTGTCTGTAACTGCCGCTAAGGTTAGAACTGTTTTTTTGAGCTTGGCGATTTTTGTCTGTTAAAAGCTCACACTTCGATGGCTACGTGTGACTTTTTCCTATTTCCAAACATAATGATAACATTAAAGGGCCGTCGTTTTACAAGCATAGATGTCATTAAAAGCGCAGCGCTGAAAGAGCTAAGGGCTATCCTAAAAATCGAGTATGAGAAGTGTTTCGACGATTGGAAGAAGCGCTGGCATAAGTTCATACTAAATGAATAAAAAAAAATTCCCTATTTTTTGAACCCACCTCGTATGGCATGTAAAAATAATTTTAACTAAGCTGGCAATGTTTTTTTCAAATTGGTGATTCTTTCTATCTATTTGCAACAATTTTTAGTTACTATTATTTCTTTCAGAAAATTATGTATTTCCAAAAGATGTACGCCTCTCCAGATGATGTAGATTTGGCTATTGGTGGCTCCTTGGAATCACACGCACCTGAATCTATCCTTGGACCCACATTTCAATGCATAATCGGACGTCAATTTTTTAATGCTCGGACGGGTGATCGTTTCTTTTTTGAGCGTTACCAATCTCTAAGCGGATTTTCGAAAGGTTGGTTGCGCTTTTCTATAAATAATACATTATACATACAAGTCAATACATATTCTGAGGAGACTGGTATTGCATATGGGCGAACCATGCCCATAAAACGACGTTATTCGAAAAAAACAAGTGCTACGACTCAGCCACCAATTAAGCTATACATATGTTTATGTTTATTTTCAATTCTTTCATTCTTTTTTATTTCATAGATCAACTGGCTGAAATCCGCAAAGCTAGCTTATCACAATTATTTTGTAATAATGGCGACTTTCTGCAAGATATTCAAACTAATGCGTTTATTTTTCCTAATATTAGGTAAATATTATATGAATATTGTCTTTATAAATATTATACTTATTCTCTTATTAATTTTACAGAAATAATTTGAGAAATTGTAAAAGCCTCTCTCAAGTGGATTTATCGAAGTGGAAGTCTCCTGCACAACAAATAACTTATTCAAATTAAGATTAAGTTTTGTATGTATGTTATTTCAATAAAAATTTAATTTAAAAGTCATTTATAAAAAATAAATGTGTGATGAAATTGACACTTTTGACAGATTGTAGGCAATTGAAATTTTTGGAAAATTATTCGATTTAGGGTATTAAGGTCGCGTCTGTAGTCTTAACTGAATAAATAATGGGGCAAATGATAAAAGTAGATAGCCAGCTATATATTTTTATAAAACTTTGCATATTAAAGTCAACTCTGCATAGTAAAGTAAACCAATAATGATAGATAACGAGATTTCGACAGTTAAAGTTTCAAATTGAAAAAAAAATCATTTTATACTCTCGCAACCTGTTGCTACAGAGTATAATAGTTTTGTTCACCTTACGGTTGTTTGTATCACCTAAAACTAATCGAGTTAGATATAGGGTTATATATTATATATAAAAATGATCAGGATAAAGAGACGAGTTGAAATGTCTGTTCGTCTGTGCAAGTTGTAACTTGAGTAAAAATTAAGATATCATTATGAAGCTTGGTACACATATATCTTGGTACCGTAAGACGGTTGGTATTGCAGATGCATAACTATGCTCCACAATAAGATACAAGACTGTTATTTGATACACGGGATCACATTAGGGAGGGGGATATGCAGTTAAAATTTTTTTTAAAAGTGGGTGTGGTCGCGCCCCTAACATGTTTAAAGTGCATATTTCCTAAACCGCTAAAGTTATAATAACAAAATGCACTGAGAACAAATGCTTTTAGCACCTCTGACAACCTCACCCACTCCCCATATAACGGTACTGTTAAAAACTACTAAAAGCGCGATAAGTATGCAAATCCAGCAACAATGTTTGTATCGGGGTAAAACTTTGCGTGAATAATGCGTTTAAAGTATGCCACCTTGTGACCAAAAATTTTCTAAATCGAATCGAAGCTGTTCAAGGCCCTAGGCATATGTGGACACCAGTGCCTATATTTGACTTTTTACCGAAAATATTGGTAAATATGTAAGATATTATATATAATTGAAATTCATATAATAAAATAAAATAGTAAAATAAAAGTAGTATGTTTTTGTGTCAAAATGGGTTGAATCGGATCAATATCTCCTTTATTATAAAATTTTGCAAAGACCTGAAGTAATTTTCGGGCTTTGATTCTTGCAAGTTGCGAGAGTATAAAATGTTCGGTTACACCTGAACTTGGAACTTCCTTTCTTGTTTTTTTTTTTAAACATTTTTTTTATTTTTTAAAAATACATGGATTCATGATTTTGGGAGGAAAAATATGGTATGTACCATATATACATTTATGTGTAACATATCCGAATGTATTTCTGATTTTGGTGTTTTAAACCTTTAGGAGTTTCTAAGGTGTTAGTGCTTATCTTAAATATGTATGTAATTGCTTTTTATTTTAATAAACAGAAATTCAACTTTTATGTACTATATATATGTATACAAGTAACTGCTGCTGCAGCTCTGTAAATGTTTCGTTAGCTTTCATACGTACAAAGGCACTGTACACATATAGTCGTACTACTTACACGTATACGTAGCCCGTTTAAGAAGTGCAGGAAGAGCAGAATTATACTTGCGGCAGGTCCATTTATATTAACATACAAGAATCCTTAGAGGTTTGGAGACTCTCAGAGAGCCATTTCTTATTTGGGCTTTTCGCCGTTTTGAGAACACAGCCAGAGAAATTGTAAAAATTATTCTCTGTTCTCTGCACAGCATCCCAGCTTAGCAATTCACCCACGTTTGTTACACCGATAGTGAAGCCGTACGCTTCAGTCACTCATCGTAGTTGCTAGTTGCCATATTTACGTTGCGGGATTTTTAGAATTTTGAAACAAAATTGCGATTTACGTCACACGCGTGTTTCTTTCAGTATCCTCTTTGAGTTAACTCCAGAGGCATTAAGCCAAGTGTTTTATAAAAGCAAACTTCGTGACCAATAGTGTAAAAACATGTCCACCGTTTAATGTTAAACAATATAGCTAATAATATGTCAACTAAAATGAAATCTAAAAGCATAATTATGTGTATTATACTTGCGAATGGATGTTATGTGCTGAGAGCCGAAAGTATTGCAAAAACGAATAAAATGCAAATTAATTAAAAATACCCATAAATGTGTATCAATTAACTAATTCATGCATTGGTACCTAAACCGCAGTGTGGATAGTTGAATTTGATTAATGAGCAGTCTGGTACCTTATTGTGATTCAAATTAAATAAAAATACATAAAATAATGTTAACAAAACATATTGTATAATCTGGGATTATTATCCGAAATGTTAACAACAAAGTTTTTTTGAGTGAATTGCCATATAAAACCTAAGTTCTGAATCTCTTTGAGTGTTTGTAAGCAACATCCTTTACACTAAGTCTATTTATACGACATATGTATGTTTATATGTACAAGTATGTACATACAAACATGCAAATTTAAAAAAAGGTCATATATATTTTAAGTAATACGTAACTTATGTGCCATATGAAGATAGATCAGTTGGGATTAAGGGATCTGATCTATGTAAACTCGCAAATAAAATCAATATAATACAATCCTTTTTGAAGGTTACATGCATTTAACTGATGAAATCTTGCTTGGTGACCAAATATAATGTGTTTGTTATCTAAATCTTATCAAGGCCTAAACAATATACCGTTATGATTCATACATATAGTCTTTTTTAAAGAAAGACTACCAAATCAAATTAAATATTATATGAAGTGGAGTGATATATACGTTTTCACAAATTATGGATTCCAGCTTCAGGGACACCTCTTTGTGCACTCGATATTTATTTATTATAGTACAATATAAGGCATTCCAATTCGTTTAACTTTTCTTTCAAGTTTGTGAAATGTGCGTGAGATATTGGAATACATACACACATTGTATCCTTGTATTTCTTATATTATTTTTATTTTTTGAATGGTTAATTATTACGTGATATCAGAGAACCGACCTGGCAGAGTTACCTAATTTAATTGAATCTTCGTATGCAAAATTACGAAAAAAATTTATTAACTGGGAAAGGGTAATATCAAAATTCCAAACTATATCCCTGATTGGATACGAACATACATACATATCATATGTGTTGCGTGATTCATACATTTGCATGTATGTACATATGTATATAGTTCTATTCCGTCTGAGTTTGCATAAGACCGTCGTTAAGGATGAAATCGTAAAACATTTACTGTTAATTAATTTTTAAATATTTGTGTCAGTACGATTTCTTAATTTTTATAAATTTAATTAATTGTGCATTTTCGTAAAATTAGTTATTGTCTGTATTTCTCAATAAATAGGTAACTAAGATGGTTACAGATAGAGTCCTTACTTGTTATTAATTTATTTGATTTAAAAATCTTCGTTTAGTGATTAGTGATGGTGAAAACAAAATTAAACAAATAAGGAAGAGCGAAGTTCGGGTGTAATCGATCGTTTTATACTCTCTCAATTTCGACGAAATCGTGAATAGATTACAATCATAATTGGTATCTTATTAATTTATATTGTAGGTCGTAGCATCACGTCCTTTCATTACTAAATTTTGCTTCGTTTTTACATTCAAATAAATTAAATTGGCTCAAATAAGATCTATGTGGTATAGATTGAACCAAAGAGGCTAGATCTGATATATTGGACATATCTGGAAAATGTCAGCCAGAGAATCGGTAATCATTATATTAGGCATATGGGGCTTAGACCAAGATCTAGGTCAATTTCATTCATATTCAGAGCTAAATTTAAGAAAATTTGTCCACTTAATTTCAGTAAAATATCACACATTTTGACAAACATACACGGTTTGAAGCCAGGTGAAAAATCGGAATTCACTATATCGGATATATTGGGGCAGTGGGAGGTATGAATTGATTGCGTGAACTTTTTGGCGTTAGTCAAGTATACTCGAGAACATGTTTCCGCAAAATTTATATATAAGATAACTCACACATTGACCGACATATTCAGCATATGTTTGCTAGAATACCGAAAATCGTTATGTGTAGTATATGGGAGATAGGGTATTTCGTGACCAACTCCATATATTTTCAACATTAAACTATAGTATATCCAATATTATACTTTCACTTAATTTTTCAAAGATATCTTACATATTAACCGATATATACGGTACAAAGCTAACTGAAAGTTTGAAATTAGGCTAGTGTAGTATTGACCTGATTTTATCCATTTTTGGCATCACAAAAGACTCCTGAGTTTCATTAACTTACCTCACAGATTGACCGATATTTTCGGTAAAAAATCAGCCATAGGCACTGGGGTTCATCTATTCAGTATCGGAGGGCGTGGAAAGTTATTTTCTTAATTTCTATAATTTTTGACGAAAGATGGGATACTTTAAAGGCACTATTTCGATAACGTTATTAGCTTTTATGTTACGTAAAGTGAAAGATTTAAAATTGTAATAAATGGAAAGTAGGTGTGGTTTTAGTCCGATTTCGCCCATTTTCACACTTCCTGAAGAAGTACGAAAATATTTATCCTGAGCAATTTTAGTTGATATAGTTCTAGTGGCTTGAGTGCAGTAAACTTATTAGGGGACCGAGTCCACTTTTTAAAAATTTTCAAATTACAGGGCAGAATAGGGCATTTCTTACTTCTATTCGTTGCACTAAATTATAGTTTTGTATTCTAATTTACGGCATAGATATGGCTAATTTATAGGTTTTTGATTAACGGCATTTATTGGACATGGCAATGAAACGATCCCGCCCATCTACAATAACAACCTTCTCATAGTACCAAGGAATACGTGTACTCAGTTTTATTAAGATATCTTAACTTTTACTCAAGTTATCGCTTGCCGCCTAACTTGTCTTGTCATCATTATCATTAAATATATATTATATTATATACATGTATATATTTTTTATTATATATATATTATATTATATATATGTATATTATTATATATATATATATAAATATATATATATATTTCGATTAGTTCTAGGTGTTACAAATGAACGTTAGGTGAACAAAACTATGTCACTCTGTAGCTATATGTTGAGAGAGCATAGAACCATGAAAACACCTGGTGACCAATGTGAAGTTAAGTCATAATTATGAAATTAAATGAGACCTCTTGTGATAGTTCAGGAAACGTACATATGTGTACGCACTGTGTGTATAACAACTATTAAAATAGTGTTAAAATAAATGGAGAGGAAATCAAAGCAACATGAAAACTCCTATAATAGTATTTTAGTGCTATCTCAGTTAACTTCTTGAGTCGAGAAACTCTCCTACTTGTAGAATAAACGAAGCAGCCAAATCCATATATTGGTAGTGAAGCAAAATGGTGTTGTTGAGTAATCCACTTGTATTACCAATTACTCGCTTAAAATGGATGGTTACTTACTCTATGGTACTACTACTGTTACAGCTTGTTCGTGTCGTTGTTGGTGGAGAAAAATTGGGTGAGTTCATGCTTATAAATAAATTGATATTGTAATATGTACCTAATACTTGTATATCTTCCTTACGCTTAGGTGTATACGTGCAGACGATAAATAAAAGACATTTAAGAGCCCCTATTACGGTTTTCAACTCAATTGCATTTTTGTTGAAGTTATGAAATTCGGTATTGGTCATATCAACTCAATCCATCAAAAAAAAAAATATATTGAATTGTGGTCAAACCTCAAATTTTTTGTGGTATTGTAGTTTCCAATTCTGTGCTAGTGAGGTTGGCTAGAATATCAAAAAACTACAACTGCTACGTTTATTTGGAGAAATATTAACCATGAAACTTCGACTGAAAGTTCGAAACACCATAAATTAATTTGGTTGATCTGAAGTTGAATTGCTTCAACTTCAATTACCGTAATGGGGGTATAGAATGTTTCAAAGTCACCTCCTACTCTGATAATATAATAAGTAATATAAGTCTATTCTTCTGTGTACCTCTATGCAATCATTTTTTTTGAAAATTGTTTATAGACATACCTGTTTGTACAGAATGAAACTAACTCTTTTGTTCAAACTGTATTTAATCATTTAAAATGAAAAATTTGGAAGACTCTGATTCTGTGCTTAGAGTATTAAAATGTGTAAAATTATTATTAACTATTTATTTATTTTGAAGCTTGCGAATTAATCAATGATATTAATAATAAAAAAATAAGATTAAAATATGTGATTACACTCTGTTTTGAAGTATCTGCAAAATAATATTTACGACCGATTTTTCCAATGCGACCAAACTCGGTTAATCCTTAGTTGGATTCTGTCCGCGATGAAATGCAAATATATCATTTCAAGTGATAATGACATTATATCATTTTCAAGTCAAACAACTGTAATAACTCTTCTAAAACTTTTTCCTATCAGCACGCATACTTTAATTAACGTTCTAATTACTTTTGAAGAAGACGTCCTACTTAATTTAAATAAGTTAAAAACATATTTTAGTTACGGCCCAGATATGATACCCTCATGCTTCTTAAAAATAGTGCCAAATATATTTACTTGCCTTTGGCAAGGATATTTAATTCCTCTTTTAAACACGGTGTATTTCCTTCAATATGGAAACAGTCATTTATAATTTCCTTGAATAAAAGTGGATTTAGGTCCAACATTGAAAACTATAGAGGTATACCTAAACGTTTTGAAGCTATCCTCACTGTCCATATAACCTTTTCGATTTCTCTGTTACGTTCCTCATCTCAGCATGGATTTCGTAAAGAGAAATTGACTCTAACAAACTTGCTTGAATTTGTAAACCATGTATCATTGGGTTTTAGAGAACATATGAATGTTATATACACAGACTTTAGCAAAACTTGATCCGCTGGGCTTTTAGCTTCTTATCTTTACACAACGAGTGATATTTGAGGATACTCCTTCAGATACAATTAATGTCTCTTCAGGTGTTCTGCAAAGTAGTCATCTTGGCCCGATTATGTTCTTGTTGTTTATTAACGATATCTCTTCAGTAAAATAATTCTCAAAAGTTTTATTATACCTATGCTGACGACGTAAAGCTTTTTAAATCATACACTTCAACTGAGGAAAGGTGTCTATTGCAAGCAGACTTAAACAATTTGGTTGCATGTTGTGATAGAAATGATTTGTCATTGAATCTCAATAAATGTATACAAATTTAGATCTGTGCACCCCTCTTTATATAATACAGCACCATAGTCTAGAGCAAGTTTTTAACTATGTTGATTTGGGAGTTAATGTGGACTTTAGTCTTCATATTGATACCATGGTCTTGAAAGCAAAAGCTGTCCTCAGTTTTGTTAAACGTTGGTCTAAAGAATTTAGAGATCCGTATTTTACTAAAACACTTTATACAACTTTGGTTGGATCTATATTGGAATATGGCTTTGTTGTATGGAACCCTAGCTACCAAATCCATTCTGACAAGTTAGAGTCTGTTCAAAAACTATTTTTACTTTTCGCCCTAGGGCATTTCCGCTCTGATTCTAGGGTAAGTCTACCTCCATATACTAGTCGTTTAAAACTTATAAATCTACCTACACTTTCTAGTCGTAGGGAAATGCAGTTTGCAGTTCTTTTCTCCTGTATGAAATTAAATATAATATCCCGGTTCTCTTTTCGAGGCAGTTTATACTTTTTATTGTTAAAATCCTGTAGATCAAATTTCGAACTAAACGAACCATTCCGCCGTATATGTCATGATTTTAATTCTCATTCCAGCACATTTCACTTATCTGACTCACTTTTCAAAATTAAAAAGACTTTATGGTTTTCTCTTAATAAATGAAAATGTAATAATTTTTTATATCGTCACTATAAATCTTAGCTGTTGGAAATTTTGGTTTTTTAGCTAAGCAGTTTTAGATCTCAACACTTAAAAAACTCTCTTGCCTTTTCTGACTCCTAATTCCGCACGTATGCGGTTTGCGCCCTTCGCGTCGGTTGGCGGGAGGAGGGTAATCGTTGGGTTATTATATTATTATTCTTGACTTTTAACAGTGTTTCCTTAATATGAAAATGAAAAGGAGAAACATATGTATCTACCATATTTTAGCTGGTGACATAGGTAATAACAACCCTGTGTATGAGTTTAAATGTAAACTTTTTTAACAAAAAATATTTATCTATTTATTTATTATCCTTAAACTATGTAAGTCCTCTAATTTAACTTCTTAAATTGACAAATATATATAGGAAACCGATATATAGTGTAAATACACTCAAAAATTTCAAATATTGTACAATTTTAAAACAAATTCGTTGAGAAATGATCCATAATATTGAGTGTGAAAAATAAAATAATAAATAAAAAACTTATTTGGAAGTGGGTGCAAAGCTTTGAAACAACGCAATTAAATGCTGAAATGCCTGTAACTAAAGCTGTTAACTTTTTTACCCAAGCCTTTGTTGGTCTAAGCATTTCCACTAAATCATTTGATATTGAATCTTTGTCAGAATCCTTTTTTACGAGTATTTAATTTCCTGTTGCTGAACACGGAAAGTGCAAGGGATCAGCTTGTGAACTGAAAATCCATGAATTGGGAAGTGAATTCTATAGTTATCTACCATAATTGCCACCTTAAGAAAAGAGTAAACCAGGATATATATATTTAATATTAGTACATGTATCGTAAATATTAGTTTACTTTATTATTATTACTTTATTTAGTGGTAAATATGAGTCAAATGTTGTTTTCTCGAAGGACGCTCTCATATCCTGGTATTGGTATAACTTATTTTATTTACATTGTCACCAAGTGCCTTATTTATACCGGTTTTTTATTGTAAATGCTGGCTCATTGGTGTATTTAAGTGTTACATTATTCGTAAACTTCAAATCTTCCAATTTTACATTGGTTTCAAAAGAAAAGTTCCGGATGAAGCCTGCCAATAGTATTTTAATTGCCATAAGAGCATATTTCCATCCTGTCAGAAAAATAATGCAATAAATATAAATAAATATTTATATATGTAAGTACAAGAATATACATAATGTGGTGAAAATGTTTACCTATACAATCTCGTATTCCCTTCGAAAATGGTATGTATGCATACGAATGCTTTTCTTGCAGATTCTCTCGCATAAAATTCTCTGGGTTAAACTTATCAGCATTTGCACCCCAAATATCAGTTCTTCGATGCAAATCGAAAATTGAAATTAAAATTTCAATTCCTTTCGGAATCACCAAACCGCTACTCAGTGTTGTATCTTGTACGACCTGACGGCCAATCATGGGTATAGAAGGCATTAGGCGTAAAGTCTCATTGACAACCATATCTAAATATGGCAGATTTGTAATATTTTCACATTCCACGTAAAAATGTTTATCAGGGAACAAGTTTATAATTTCCTCGAATAATCTTTCCTGTACAGCAGGATGCATGGCTAACATCAAAAGTGCTGACAATAGTGCATTGGCGGACGTCTCAAAAGCCTGTAAGATGGTTTATAATGAGTATACAAACGGTTAATAAAGAGTATATATGACGGTAAATACATAGGCCACTTACTTATTGATAACAAAGAAATCATAAATCAACACTGTAATTATTACATTTGATTACTTATCAAAAATCCTTGAAACTACAATTTTAATGGTAAATCTTTATTCTAATAACCTTGTTAATTTTATTGGCATAGAGTTTTCTAGTTGACGACATTTTTTCTTGCACCTTCCACAATTTTCCACATTCCCGTAGCAGGACAAATAGAAGTGTTAATTGGACTACTGCCACGCTTACAAAATGTCATTAAATGAAGACCTATAAAATGCCATAAGTAATCACTAAATAAAGATATAAAACTTTAATTTGGCACAGGGAATCGCCGACTGTCCGTCTGTCTGTGCAAGCGATAACTTGAGAAAAATTGAGATATACTTGTATTGATAAAACTAGCTAAATATGTTCCTTGGCCCCCAAGTGACGTGGGTGTAATCGGACCTATGCCACGCCCACAAAACTTCATTAAACGAAGACCTATAAAGTGCCATAACTAAGCACTAAATTAAGATAAATAACTGTAATTTGGTAAATTTGTTTTAAGTTGTCGTAGCTCCGCCTCTAAATTATTAAATGTTCATATTACCCAAATCGCTGAGCTAACTCAACCAAACTTGCTGGGAAGAAGTATTTTTAAGAAGTCACTTCGTCAAACACTGTGAAAATGAGTAAAATCAGATAATAACTATGCCCACTTCCCACATAACGGTTATGTTGAAAACTACTATAACTGACGGAATAAATACGCCAAAATCATTAAATTTTACAACCACGGTGATGAGGAAGAGCTTCATAGGAGCAAGTGTAAATAAACGTGTCACCGCCCACCTTAGGTGAGATCCTCTATCTCAGGAACTACCCGACCAATTTCAACCAAATTTGGTTTGTGAGGTAGTAACCCAAACATTTCAATCATACACTGTCAAATTGGGCGAAATCGGAGGACAACCACGCCTAATTCCCATATAACACAACATAAAATCTTGAATCTAATTCTTTCACTTTACAGTGTATACATAAGTAAATCAAACATCAATGAAGTTATCAAAATAAGACTTTGCACAAGTAGTGATCTCAAGGTATTTCATCTTACGCCTAAAAATTATACAAATCGGACTATAATTTTTCGAGGACCCAGGCACCAAATATGTGGACCCCATTGCATATGGCTGATTTTTTTACCGAACATATCGGTAATTCTCTGAGATCTAGTGACAGCATGCACTATTTTCTTGATTATTCGAACATATTAAAAACAACAATAACCAAGATTACGAGATCAAAGACTATTTTTCTTATGTAGTTGCAGGTTTTACATACATACGTTGTATAATGTACATACGAATTTTTTATACGTAATTGGAAAATCAAAAGCATTTTTTTACTTACCGCAGATACGATTGTGTTCGTTTCGCCAATGAGATCATGATACGACATTTTTCCTTCTCGATATAAATTTATAGCCTGGTCAATAAAAATACTTGGTACCTTCTCATTAAATGCTTGATTTCCATATGAATAATTCTTGTTTACATTATTATCTGTGGATATATTGACATCAAGTCGGATATTTTCCGTAGTTGGCACTTGTAAGAGTTTTCCATATAAAAGCTAAAAAAAAAATATTAAAAATCATTATTTTTGTTCATTGTTTTATAATACTAATTACCCCTTCAATAAACTTGTACACAAACTCCTTCGATGCTTTCGTAAACCAGGCGTACAAGTGATCCAGCTTCACATATGCTAAGAGACATTCAATTGGTACTTTTTCCATGCTTCTAAAGTTTTTTATTACACTATTAAAATTATTTTACTATTTTGTACAATATATTTGTTGTTTGTACTAACATGACATATGATTTCACTAATTGCTCTGACACCTGATCGCCTTTTTGCATCTCTTTCCCCATAGTGGTTTCTGTAGTAAAGTTGATAAATACAAGCTACAAATAAATACATAAATATATAAAATGTTCTTACCAACAGTTATACTTAAAGTGATCCTTTGCAACTGTTCGCTAATAAGGACAGGTTCATTTCTTGTCAATTCACTGAATTTTTGAATAGCTCCATCTTTTGCCTTATTAAATACGGGCAAAAATGAGGTCAGTACTCTCTGATGAAAGCTTGGATTTATCATACGACGATTTTTATGCCATTGATCCACTAAAATTAAATTCAACTAATTTTTTAAGAGATATTGGAATATCGATGTTCGCAATCAGTTCGATCATATATCAAATAGTAAGAACAATAAATTAGATATCTGAACGAAAATTAATCCAACCACAAAATCATCACAAAAAATACAAACATTACACGCTTAAGTTCTGTCCAATGCGTTCATCATCTACTCAACTTTTATTCAACTTTCCGTTAGACTATATTTATGTACATATATTATTCAATTAAGATAAAATCATTTGCACAACATAAACATAGAAAGCAGAGTATTGAAGAAAAATTTAAAACGAAGCTAACTGATTTAAAACATTTTATTTCTAAAGCAGCTCTTGAATTCAGTTTAGTGTTTCAGTAAAAGGCTTGAGTTTAAGCATAAAAATGATTAGTTGCCACCCTTATTCAAATCTAAAATATAATGTGGGTATGAAGCATAGCTCAATTATGCTGTCAAATAATTTTAAATAAAAAAAAAATATTGATTAATTTGAAAATTTGAAAAATCCCATATTGTTTATAAAAAAAATTCTGTTTCAAAGCCTTGCGATTGGATATGAGCACCGTTTTAGTTGAAATGTTTTAAATAAAATTAATAACAGGAATATTTGGATATAACATGTGATCTTGCTCTTTTTGACTAGGTAATTTTAAAAGAAATCCCATGATAATAGTTTCAACATTTTTCATTCATCCGAAGTATTTATTGTTATTGTTGTTTAATAAAGAATTTGTGTACTGAATCTTTCAAATTGTGCAGTACAGGTGTTTACTAAAAACACGTAATACTTAAAAAACGAGACACAGTTTTACGAGCATACGAACTTTAAAAATATTTAGATATAATATAATAAATTAAATTTTTACCTGGACTTGCAATAAGACCACCTTTGAATGCGTCATAGAGTGGCTGGTATAATGGCTGGGCCTTATTGAGCAACTCTTTTGAAGATAGTACATCTTTTATGAATGGGGGATCTGCTGTTATAATAATTGGATATGTGCCTATCCAAGTACAAATTGTGTATGCCTTACAATCTTTGAATATTTTACCTAACTCTTGAATAACATCTGTAATTAAAATATTTACAGATATTTTTTGTTACATTATATGTGTATTGCATTATTAGTTTATACACCTACACTTATTATACTCGTATATTGTTAACAATTGTTAATCAATAATACAAACTATCCTATCAAATTTAGTAAATTTTCGAAAATACTGCACCAGTTTATTCAATACCTTGCCTATAATAATATGATTATTAGATTATTAAAATTTTTTGGGATAAATTTCAAATTTCAAAAAAAAAAAAATATATATATATACATAGCCCCTTTGAAAAAGTTATGAGACTAATTGGCAATAAAGTTGGTCTAGATTATAAAAATCATTACAGTTTTCTTGGATATGGAAATAGACCTTCCCACCGATACTGAAATTATTGTTTCCCACTTTTTTGTCTAATTAATAACTCTATTACTTTATTTCTTGGGAAATCTTATCTGAGGCAGCAGTAAAAATTAATATTAAATCGTACTACATTATTCCTTACTACTCCTATATCGAATATATTGACTTTATAAAATATTTCCAAATTTATAAAAAAAGAGGATTTTAAAAGTTTGAGTTTTTCTTTTCAAAGGGTTTTGAACACTCTATTTTACTATTTTTTGGAAACTGATAAATTTTAAAAAGTTTAAGACAAAATGGAAAAGTTTGTAACACCAAAAAGGTAAGTAAATTACTAAACCATCAAAGTTATGATTGAACGAAGTTAATGTTTTTTCTTCTTTTTACTACGGTTTTTAGAAATGTTACAAATTATTGGGATGTACGAGTATGTACATCACAAGAATTGAATGCATGTGTTTAGTAATTAGAGATATCCTTCAAAAAACACCTATATAAATTTCACAGCAGTCCGTGAAATAACCACAGATTTAAATCCTAAAGTACTACTTATTCAAGCATTCGAAGTCACACTCGAATTTGGAAAAATCCCGAAAATTATTGTTTTGACATTTTTAATTACAACACATTAAGAATTGAGAACTTCACTGTACATATATCGGTCTCTTTAAATGTAAATGTCCTCTATTCAATTCACTATTTGTTTATGCGTACTATGTTGGCTTTTAATGCGATGTAATATCCCGAAAAGCGGCCACCCAAATAGTCCTGAGAAGCGTGATGAGAATTGGTACACATTTTTTCTCGTCCACAGCCAGTAAAACCATAATGTTACGGTTAAACTTAGAATTATTACTTTAATAAAATCCTGTTTTTCGGAGATTTCCATGGTCTTTTACTTAGTATTATTGTGTGTTTACTGATAGTCGAATCATAGTCTACTTTATTAAATACCACATTTCGGAGATGCAAGTTTGAGATTTTTGCGTTTGCAGCAATTTAATGTTTTAATATACCTCTATACCCATATACCCTGTACGAATTGAGTTTCGGATAAAAAGCTGGGTGACACATTTTTTCCCATCATGCATATAAATTATTATTTTGTTGTACATAAACTAGTATATTTGCTATATATATGGATTTACTTAATGGGATGTAAAAATACACAGACAACTCCACATTTGGTTTTTCAGTTAGTGATTTTACCATTATGTAAATAGAATTCGCATAATGAGGCGCCATCGGCACCTCACTGCACACAAATTTAGCATATACTATATGATATTTATAATATTAGATCAACATTTCCTGCAGGGTAGGTATGTACATATATAATAACAGGGGGCTAAAACTGTGGGTAATGGCTTTAAGGTAATTTAAATTAGTTACATGTAAACAAACATGTTTATGCATTTAATGCGAGCAGTATTAGTATAATCGTATGTAGGTATTTGACTTGTGTTAACACCAACCTTTGACCACATTTTACAATTGCTCTTGAAATTAAAAATATGCATACACACACCCAAAGATTAACAGATTTAACACAGGTTAATCTAATTTTATACTAACATAAATTCATTTGCAAATAAATTTATAAAATATAATATATAAATTAACAAAAAAATATTTACTCATGCATGCATATAAAACATTTTCAAATTAATAAATTGTAAATTGTAAATTGATAAAAGATTTTTTTTTATTTTAATTAAAAAATGGTATATGCTTATAAAAAGCTGTTATCTTTTTTTCGAAATTCAAGCACAAGTCAAAAGAATTATCTGGTAAATAAAAATTGTATTCGTTCAATGAAAATATTATTTTTATTATTCATTATTAGACGATGGTCTATATCTGATTCAAAATAGTTTCCTTTTATGATTACAGTTGCAACCAATAGTTGTTGTTATGTGTAATAATAATGACTAAAAGCAAAATAAAATAAAACGGCTTATAGAGATATACAAACAAAAGTAGAGTACATTATACGTACTAATGCATACGTATGTTTTGTTTGGTCCCAACATACATACATACATATGTATGTACTTATCTGACTATTAAAATTTTGAACTAGAACAAAGTCATTACAGCTTAGTAAAAAAATATAAATATGTACGTTTTTGACCCCCAAGAATAAAATGTGCGTAAATATTAAATAAAAAAGATTAAAAACTGTAATGAGAATTTAACTTCGGCTAATAATAATGATTTTGTTTTTATCAAAAAGTTTATAATTAATGATTTAAATTAAAATTAACATACCCGCTTTCTAATGACATACCTATGAAACCATATAATATAAGCTTTGTTTTGGAGCCCCCTTATCAGTAACCATAATTTACCCCCAATAATAGTCTTCTTCTATACTTTTTTAGCTGTTCTCCGTTTTTTATTTGCTTTTAAATAACTAAGGTGCTGTCAGGTTGAGAATAGGCCCACATAACAAAAACTAAAAATGCTATAAAAATATGGTTTGTCAATATTTGCAAATTTAATATAAAAAAAAACATAATAATATAAATATAAATTGTACGTTCATAGAATACAAAGTTACGGCAACCGTCGAAGTCATAAAACCAACATCCTCATGTTTACAGTGGGACGAATTAAAAAAAAATCATTATTTATGTTACGGTTTTTGTTTTTTGGGCGTCAAACCTTCAACATTGCCGTAATCAATGATTGATTTTTGACATAAAAAGTAGTTAACTCTTACCACTTCATTAAGATGGGCTTAAACGCAACTATGTATGTATATGAACCTTACGCAATTTGAATTGAATGTTTTCTTCGAAATCATATTCTTTAAAATGATTGGAACAAACATATATGTAAACGAAAATATGAAGCAAAACAAATAATTACGCTTGCTGGCAGAATAGCACTAATTCGCAAAAGTAAACCAAGAAGAAAAAATATATATGCACATATGTATTTTTTTGATATACTGATATATATACAATGTCCACAATATTTCATTATCCATAGTGATCCACTATATTAGTTCCCTCCGGCTTAACTCTGGCAAAGTTGTGTGAAATTTTTAAATATTAATTTTTTTCATAACAAGTACCTATTCATATGACTCACACGAATTTTGTGAATATTTTTGTTAACAACAACCCACTGCACACTTCATCCTTATTTTAAATTTTTAAAAGTAGCAAAAGATATTTGGCTCTACCACTTCAGAAATGCACTTGATCTTATGAAAAAAATGTGTACAAATCGCTTTTCGTGATCGTTTTTTTTTTTAAACACTTCGCGCAGCTGCGAATTTACCAATTTTATAACTGTTTTGATTATTTGAATGTGTCATTCGCTGAAAATATTATTAGATAATTAGAGCTGCTATGTATATAGATATTTTGTGAAAAATGTAAAATTTATTTCACATTCAAATATTTTTGAAGACTAAAATAAGTTTGTATATACAAAACTACATTATACAATTTTGATACAAATTATAATGAATTGCTTACAAGTTCATTATCAGTTTGTAGCTTTTTATAATTAATGTTTCAAGTTATTTCAAAGATAAAAGAAAGCAAACATATTAAAAAGACTACGGCAATCAACTGATTTGAACCAAATTCGTCATTGTAATAACAATGGATGAATCTTTTGAATGAGAGCTTCTGACCAAATTTCGCTTTTCTTACTAGATTCTTAAAAATATTGATTACTTTCTGAAAAGATTGTGCTAAGAATGATAGAGATGGAAATTGGTCCAAATTTTTACCGTTATTTTTTCGGCTTGCGCTATGACAGTTGTGACCAAAAATGTAGCAACAAAATTCAAGTGATGACGTAAGTTATCTATGTTGCTTCTTCACATTTTTAAAACCATTACGTCACGATGCATTCACATGTATGCACAAATTTACTTGGAACATTTTCGTCTATGAAACTTTCAAACTTAAAAAGCTCTTAATATTATCAAATATATAGGGAACTCTAAAAATCCATACATACAAGAAAAAGCTTTTTTGGGACAAAAGCTCACTCATTTTTCCCTTCAGACCATTGTATCGATATACACTTTCTTAGTAAATATTTTTTTTGTGCTGTTATATTATATTATGGTAAATACTTGAAGTTCCCCCTATAATACGTGAGAATTTAAGATAAAATAAGTGAGGTGAAAAGTTCAGGATTTAAGAAGTGCATGGTGTGTTAAGGCCTGTGCATATTTAAACTTGATTTTTTTAGCACCGGTCTGCCCTTCACGTTAAAATGTTAAAAAGAAACTATTATAGAAAAATATGTAATACGGGAATTTAAAGAATTTACATTACTTGTTTTGTAAAATATTAATGTAAGTGTTTCAAACTACTATAAATGAAGCATACGATTTGTCGTAAAAACGTTTAAAAAATATATTTATTTGACGACGTGGGTATATAACTATGACCAACGTCAAAATCAAAAGCCAACCTTACCGATAGAAGAATCCGGAAAGGTCAACGCTAAAAATAGGAAAGGACATCAATGGCAACTTTTCTTCGATTGTCAAGGCGATTTACATTACAAATTCTTACTACTAGGTATTACAGTCAATAAAGAGAGATTAAAGATATGTGCTGTTTGCATAAAATGTATCGTCATTAAACATGATTCCTTTGTACCACCACTAACACTGTGGGTTTTTATATCTATACCATATCTTAGTATTTCGTTTAACAATTTACTTTAGTTTATGACTTTATATTTATACCCCTATCCAGATTTGGGAATTTTTTTTTATTGTAATTTTAGATAAAAATTAGAATTTTAATTTTTAATCCAAGATGTTTGAGATTAAAAATTAAAAATTTCTCTAGAAATTTGAAGATGATGGCTTTGTCCAAACTCTAGTTTTAAATAGTAGAACATAAAGTACACAAACGTGAATAAATGTAAATTCAAAATTGCCCTTCCCTATACTTGTTAAGTCGAATTGGAGAAATATTATGTAGCTTATTGGTATAATTGATAGATGCAATAAACTGTTTGCTCTGTATAAACTCTGTTACTAAAAATCCGAAAAGATTGGAATATGTTATAGAAGGTCTCAGATAAAGTTTGTAGAATTTTTAAAATTTCAAAATGCCAAAAAGTATTTTTATTACAGCAAAGATCTTAAAGGGGCTATTACATGGTTAAAATAAAAATAATACAAGATATTTATTTTTAAATACATATACATATACTACTACTACTTAAACTATATGTCTGCGATACGTGCTATATTCAAGAATGGAACACACACACACATGCTCCCATGCATACAAGCACTGTGCGGTAGTTTCACCTAATGGTGAACACTTTTGCTGAGTTTATATACATAGGAGTACATAAGGATATATGTATGTACGTATGTGTATTTTTACCAAATAGTATGTTATGTAAATGCAGTATGTATGTTCCTATGTAACATTAATGTTTCTGAAAATATCAGGAGCCATTGCTAGTTTACATATGAATGCTCTAGCACACACACACATCAGGCATATACTAATGGATAGGTGTTCTTAGGAATAAATGTTCATTCGTATGTATATAATTTAGGTATAAGAGTTTAATTAGAACTCAACTTATATTTAGTGGTTGAATATCTAAGAGAATTCGTAATTATTACAAGTTCTCTGTGTGTACATATCGCCAGTTCTTGGGGGTTATTTTCTCTCATAAAATAATACTCTCTCCTAAATTTAGTCACGCGAAGGACTCCAATGATTTAAAGAGAAAATTTTCCACTTGTAGGAAATTTCTCTAGACATCAAAGTATTTTCGGCTTGAAATTTCAATCGTTAGCACACGATGCATCAGTCGAAAATCGGGGCATTTAGAAAGTGGTTGTGTGTTGCGCGTGTTCTGTAAGAAATGTAGGGTCAGTGATAGAAAAATGTATCCAAATGCTTATTTTATATCGCACCCTTAGCGAGAGAAATAGTAAGTCTTCG